GGTTCCCGGTTCCCGGTTCCCGGTTCCCGGTTCCCGGTTCCCGGTTCGTGCGCTGCGAGCACACAGCCGCGCTGATCGCTCGAGGGCCGCTGCCTATTGCGGGCGTTCCTTGAGTAACGGCGGCTTTCGGGCCGTTCTGTCCCGTTTTGTTGTCCTTCGCTCTGCATGTAGCCCTGTGGTGGTCCTGAGGGTAGAACAACGCCTCGCTCGGAGGCAAACTGCGCTCCCACATCTGTAGGGATCCGCAGCCCCAGAGCCTGCGGCTCCTTCTGGCTTTTTACATGGGAGAAGTCGCGGTGAGGCAGCTCTGAGAACGCAGCGTAAGGGCTGGGTCTGAGAGAGAGGAAGCTGCGGCCACAGGGAAGCTGAGGAATATGCATAGCAATGTTTGACCGAATTCAGGGACGGGAGCTTTTAAAATGATGCTTTAATTCTGTACAGCTGTTCTTAGTGAACAGGCTGATCCGTGCTTGGATTGACCTTGGGCGTTAAAATCGAAGAAAACAATGCATGCTCCCCAGAGTTGTGAACACAAATAGTTCTTTTTCAGCAGCACCCCTATTTGTATCTGTGGCCAGTTAGTTGCAATTTTGGCCATTACAAAACCTTTATTTACTCTTATTGGAAGGAATGGTTCTTGCTTTGCACACCTCAGGGTTAAAATGATGGCTGTGGCTCTTCAGTTTATACTGCTAGGCTTGTAATTCAAGGCCCGTAACTGATACAGCTCATTACAATGGGTGTCTGAATTTAATCTGTCTCCTCAGAGAGTCAGTACTCAGAAATTCTATTGCATGTCTGTAAACCATTTTAATCTCTCTCAACTATCTTGGGTTACCAAGCTGCCATCTCTGATTTAACATTCCTAATTTTGAAGTTCAAATGTTGATAAGTGTTAACCTTGTGTGCATATCTGTGTATTTCTGGGTAACCTTGCAGAACTTCAGGGACTTACTGAAGAAGTCTCACTCCCTACCCCAACCAATCAGTGTAGATGTAATAGTTAAAGTGTATTAATGAAATACCCTGGCAAATTATACAACTCCATCACTGTGAGAAGCAAGTAAATTCCATTATTGTTTTCCATTGAAATCTAAATATCTTTTTGTGTCTCTTAATACTGCTGTGAATTTGCAGATTCCTAAGTTGGAGAAGGAGGAGCAGGAGGAAAAGAGTGCATGACAAGAGAATAACAGATTTCTTGTGTGAATTTCACTTTCCCTCAGCTTCTTTCATAATTAGAACAAGTTCTCGATACATAAAGTAGTGTAATTCAACTGTGTAAACAGATAACTTTGTAGTTTTGAAAATGAAAATCAGAAGTGAAACGTAAGAAATGATGTCGTTACTCCTCTCCAGAATTAGTTGCCTGTTGTTTGCAACTTTGTCTTGATTATCCTTTTGCATGTAGTTGTGCATTTCATAATGTATACTTGTGGCCATTTCAAAGTTCAAAATAGGTTTCTGAACAACTTTGAGAATAAGGGTAGTAAACAGAAGTTAATTTCGATGGCTGTCTTTCTTTCTTATGGAAAGAAGACCCATCCTCTCTTTCCATAGAGGTAAGATAGAAAGCATAGAGAAGGAAACTGAGTACTACAGTGGAAGATGCAGGCACGCTTCTGGGAAATGAATCTGCACAAACACATGTGCAGTAAAAGCTAATGTGGAGGACTGATGGACAGTTGCAGTGGGGATTCAAGAAGGGTCCAGTGAACTCAAACTTAGAAGTGATGATCAGTAAAAAAAAAAAGAGAGGTGGCAGCCTAAGATTTTGTTCACAAACCCATTCGCAGTATATTTCTGAAAGACTTCTATTAATGGGATTGGTTTTTTTAGCACCACCCTGGTGCTTTTTTGCCAAATAATGTGTGAAGGTTTTTCAGAAGATGTTTGTATCTGTTCAGCTTACAGTGGAGATAGGAAGATTCCTGAATACTTTAGAGTACCTCCTTTTTATTGAATAAACTAATTTGAAATGTTGGTATCTGGAGAATTTTCTTAAAAACAGGCACATTTTTTCACAATAATTTCTTTCACAATAATATATTCTCCTGCAACTTGTATAAAAGTCCTTTTTTTTACCGTAGATGTTGAAATGACAAAAAAAAAAACAGTGTACAGCTTGTTACTTGGCACATTTAAGGTATCAGGAGTGGATAGGTACAGGATACTTGTATGCTTTATGTTCTGCTTATGTGCTGTGGGTTCTGTGATTGTTGGTTAATCCATTTTGCTTGATAGCAAAATGCATTTTCTTTTATAGAGTGAAGATACACAGCAACAAATTATCAGAGAAACCTTCCACTTGGTATCCAAACGTGATGAAAATGTCTGTAATTTTCTAGAAGGAGGCTTGTAAGTATCAGGTTTAAAATAAATGTTCTACACTTGCAAATATTTCTGTTGATAGTAGCATACTTGTTCTTACAATTATGATGTAAATTCCATGTGGCTTGAGATATTTGGCACACTAGTAATAGGATTAGATTGATACCAGGTATATTTTTTACTAGTTGGAATGTACATATGTATTTATTTGTGTGTATATATATATGTATCAAAATTGCTTAGGAAATAGAGCATATTTTTTTCTAGAGGAACAGACACAGTGCTGTATCTAGTCTTACAAGTGGTTCAAACACAAGATGTGGAAGAAAAACGCAGATGATATCTAACCAGTTTCCCTGTAATTCACCTAAAGATTTCTGATTTTGTTTGAAGACCTTGGCCAAATCTACTGAGAAAGTGAAAATATTTCAAAGCTGATGCTTAGGCTTGTGCTCCTAGAATCTGAGTGCACAGCTCTAGTTGTAGGATTCCCCAGCTTGCCTGTTAGGGCTCAGGCTTGCTGTATAAACTAGGAAGAAAATGTTTTTGAAATGTGTTACTGAAGCTTTAATCAGGAATTTTTATTACTGTACTGTGGAGAAGGGTTGAGGAAAGCCATACTTGTATCTGCTGTCTTTAGAAGACAGGTACAGAATATTCTTTCTTGGATCATGTTGTTGGTTTTTTTTTTGTTTTTTTTTTTCTTAAAAAAAAACATGTGGTCTTACTTTAACTGAGCAGGAGGAATTCTTATGTGGAAAAATGTTTTGAAATGCTAGTCATCAAGACTGAATAGTTAAATTGCCACCTGCTAGGAAAAGGGGTCATAGTTGAGAGACAAGCTCATGATTTCCAGTATAAACATAGAGACTGTATTAGTCTAAGTGTTCTAATGATGGAAAATTTCTAATTGCTGAAAGCTAGCATGTTAATGATACTTTATGCAGAGTCACAGTTAAATACTTGGTTGTACTCTGCCAGCTGTGGTTTCTTTGTCCTAGCCTGGATGATCCCTGATGATTTTAATAAAATGCTTTTTTTTCATCTGCTCAGCTTCTCATGCATTTGATTCTTGGAGATGATTCTAAGCTAGAAATGTGCTAACTTGAAAGCTGTGAGATAAAGAAGCTGCTTGGAGCTTTTTAAAAAAGCTGGGCAACACAAAAATCATAGGCAAAGGATTATTTTTTTTTAATGACAGGGATCACTTTGTAGTTTGTGTTCTGGCCAAAGGCCTCATTTTGCTTGCTGAAATTGAAAGAGCTTAGGTAGTTTTGACCTGGTATAAAATTAAGGGAGTATTTTGAGATGCATAGCCGTGTAGGTCCAGGCTACAAAGTACTTCAATTTTATTTTAGCATACTTTCTGTTGCATAGAGTGGATGTTGATGAACTGAAGAATGTCTGTTAATGATGAATTACTTCTTCAGGAAGACTATAGCAGAAGAGTGGAAGGAAGTAAGATGTTTAGACATCTTTTCTTTGTGTTTAGTAACTTGATGGTTAGTGAGCCGCAGGAGGAATAATGTTTTTGTGGACTTTAACGTTGCTTCACAAACTATTGACTGTAGTTCTGTCTTATTTTTCATGATATCAGACATCATATACTACATTGATGACTATGTGGTCCATAAACACAGTTTAGGGTTTTTCTGTAGTCCAAATGCCAGCCTGCAGTATAGATTTCTTCTAATGCTGCTGCTCTCTTGAGAAAGGTGGGGAATGATTCTTCAGCATGTGTTCTCTTAAGCTATAAAGCACATTTATGTCTGTACAGTGCCTGCCAGTGTGTAATGGAAGTTTGTTTTTGGATGAACCTGCCCAGTCAGTTTGAATTGATTATAATATGGTGGTGTGTGTATCAATGTAATTAATATCCATATGGGTAACAATAATGATGTTTATGTGGAAAATGTAACTTGGGTTGTCTTGTTGCTTTGTTTTCTTCCATTGTCATTATATTACAGAATGGGTGTTTGATTTTTGAAAAGCTGCAGCCAGTTATTAACAGTAGGCACCCTTTTAACAGACATGACTGGGGTTTTGCTCAGCATGTCCTTAGAGGCTAACTGAGTTTTGTGTTTTCTTTCCCATTTAGATTAATAGGTGGATCTGATAACAAACTGATTTACCGACACTATGCCACCTTGTATTTTGTGTTTTGCGTGGATTCTTCAGAAAGCGAGCTTGGCATTTTAGACCTGATACAAGTAAGTTTGTTTACTTTTCTTTTAAAGTAATTGGATTTCTAAGTCCTTTGGAACTTCAGTGTTTAACCTTGTCTTTCTGTTACAATATTTGTAATGACGGAGACTTTCATACTCTGAATATACTCAGTGCAGACTATTATTTTTGAACATCTGTAATTCTCTGGACTTTCTTTAAATAAGTGATTTCCCAGGTTCGTGATGCAGTAAAGGGAATAGTTCATTTGGAAGCTACTGAGCAGTCTTCAGTTACTTTTTTGCTGCAGCTTTGCAAGGCCTTGTTTTGTCTGCAAGTCGAGATGATACAGTTCAATCATTTGCCAGGACAATTTTAGAGGATGAGAACTTTGATACATAATGCTGCTCATACATTTATGTGCATGTCTGTGTATTCACTACAGATACGTAACAAATTTAAAACAGCCAGAACCTGTTACAGTGCAACTTTTCAAAAGAACCATCGTGGTTTAGGAGTTTTCATTCAGATATGCCTTAAAAGTTGTAGTAATTTTTCAACATAGAATTTGTTAATAAGTAATTTCACTAATTATCCTTACTGTTATCTGTGGTGTGAACCACAGAATTGTTTCTCACCCTGAAGTAGCATATGTCATCACATAAAATTGGGTGTTGGGTATGTGATTTGTTTTAATGTAGTCTTTTAAAACTTGATTTGGTACTGATAAATTTATTCATGTACTTGAACAATGTACTGCACCATATAGATGTGTATAGGATATTATAACCTTTAAAAGCTCACGTGTCTAGAAGATTGTTTTATTACTTGATTAAAATCTGTGATATCCTGAGATGCGGGCGTGTATGTGTCATTTATTTTACTGTGAGCCTTAGAGGCCCCTTGGTTCCCTGCAAACCTCTGTTGGAGCTGAGTATTTTTTTGTAGTCATCTACAAGTGTTCAGAACACCTGTTTGGTGTGAAGTTCTCTTCTGGACTGTAAATCCATATAACCTTTCCAAGAGGGCTTATAGTGAGCAAGAAAAGAAACTGGTTTTCTAGATTCTTATATAATCTTTACTCACAGAAACATTCTGAATTACGTGAGTTACTGAGTGTCCAAAGTGGCCTTATGCACTTACAGCTGCTTGTCTGCTGATTGCTTTGTGTGACTTCTAAAATATTTATGAACTGAGGAAAGAAGCATGTTAATGTTTTATGTGACTTAGGAAGGTTTTTTCTGATAGGGAGCTTATTTATGAGTATCTTTTGTTGAATCAGACAGTAAGGACAGGAAAGGCTAAGTCAGTCAGTCTGACATGCTGTGTTTTGCATGTGTTTATGCAGATTTGTTTGTGTTTATGCAGATTCAACTAGCATTTCATTTGTTATAGTATAATAAAAGTGATGGATCAGTATCTTTCAATAATTTCCAGTTTAATACTGTAACCTAATTTTACTTTAAGGTGCTGAAGCAAGTTTCTGCGACTTTGTACTACATATATATATATAGTACCCTCAAACTCTCTGAATTAAATAGTGCCTAACCTTTAAACTGCGTTACTTCTTATGCCACAAGTTCTTGGATGGAATTCCATAACTTGATATATACATTTCACATTTTTTCCATAAAGATCCAGTGCTGAATTACAAGCCAGTGTAACTACTTGAATAAAGCAAAAATAATATAAATAGTACTTCTGTTTATAGCAGTACTTGATTTTGTTTTTAACGCTATGATTTTCTTTTTAAATACAGTCTCACCACAGTATCTGCAGCTGTTCAGTGCTCCTATTCCTCTAGATCATTATAATTCAGCCATCTGATTGTAGTAGAAAGTATACACAGATTGATTTAACATTTTTAATTTCCATTTTGGCTCACAATCTGTTTAATCCTCTTAGCAATAGCAATCAGAGTTAAACAGATCTTTATCTGGAAAAGCACCTTCAAAAAATGTATGTGTGGTGCAGACTGGCAGCAGTATATACACATACACCTGCATCTACTCAAATAAATTAGCACTGTTTTTGTGTTCAGAAGCGCTGAAGCATTTTCATGTGCCTTTGTTTACTACAGTTCAGAGACAGTACAGATAACGGTAAGCCAGCTTAAACAACCTCAGCTACACTGGCCTTTCTTTAGACGTGCTCCAGTCCTGTAATCATCCTTGTGGCCCTTCTCTGGACCTGCCCCAACAGCTGTATGTCTTTCATTTCCTTGGAGCCCCAGGCTGGGATGCATTACTCCTGACTGGGCGTCACAAGGGCAGAGCAGAAGAGAACAGTTACCACCCTTACTCTGCCGACCACCCCTGTTTCGATGCAGCCCAGATCAAGGCACAAGCACACGCAGCTGGCTCATGTTCAGCTTTTCATACAGCAGAATCTTCAAGTTCTTTGCAGGGCTGCTTTCAATGAATTCTTCTCCCAGTCTGTAAATATATCGCCCTGACCCAACTGCAGCGCTTTGCACTTGGTGTTCTTAGATCTCATTTTAGGTTCATGTGGGCTCAGTTTTCAAGCTTTGGTTGGCATCCCCTTATTCTATTGTATGAACTACACCACTCAGCTTGATATCATCAGCAAACTTGAGAAAGGTGCACTCGATTCCACTGTCTGTGTCATTGATAAAAGTGTTAAGGAGCACTGGTTGGCAGACTTTGCCTGCTCACCATTACTTTTCAGATACGATAGTGGCTTGGCAGCAGTATCAGCCAGTGCCTTCAGGACCCTGTAATTCATTTCATAAGGTGCCCTGAGACTTTTTCTTTGTTTACATTTGGAAGTTTTTTGCTCCCCCAGCCCTTGTGTAAAGGTTGAGGGACATTAGAGACACGGGAAGCCTGAATGCCAGTGAAGACTAAGGCAGAGAACTTGCCGAGAACCTTGGCCTTCTACTTGTCTGTTGAAGCCAGTTCTCGCTTCTCATTTACAAGGGGATACATTATCCCTGGCCTTTCTATTTTGGCCAGTGTATCTGGAATCCCATCTTACTATTTTTTACGTCCCTTGCTAAGGCCGGTTCCATCTGTGCCTTGGTTTTCCTGAGCCCATCTCTACAGACAGAATCCCTGTGTTTTTCCCAGGCCACACATCTCTGCTTCCATTGCCTGTATGTTCCCTTCTTTTCCCTCAGTTTGACCAGCAGGACCTTGTTGAACAATAACAGTTTCCTGCCTCCTCTGCTTGATTTCTTATGCTGAGGGTGCAGTGCTCTTGTGGTCTCACAAAAGTCCTCAGAGTTTTACCAGCTCTGATCTGCTACTTTGTCCCTAAACCCAGCTTCCCAGAGGATCCCATCCAATTTCCATAAAAAGCCCAAAGTTCAGGGTACTAACTGCTTTTTTCCCAGACTGTGTTTCTCAAGATTGTGAACTCGACCAGGATATGGTTGCTGCAGCCCAGACTGCCTACCTGTTAAATGAGCATCTTTGCATCAGTGAGCACCAAGTACTTCACCTCCTTTTGGTGTAATACCCATGTCAGGAAGTTATCCTCAAAAGATAACTTTGAGTCCTTTTAAAGGACTCCAGGAGTCACTTGGAATGTTTAAAGTTTTATGTTGCTTTCTGAGCAGACATCTGAGTGGTTGAAATCCTCCATCAAGGTGAGAGCCTCTGAGCCCTGTAAGTCATGTAGCTGAAGCGAGAAGGCCTTATTCATTGGCTCCTCTTGATCAGGCAGCCTGTAGCAGACCCCAGTCTAGACCCCCAGTAGCCCACCAGACATCCTGTCTCAGTCTTATCTAATGTAACCCACAAGATCTCAACCTGATCACGGTTGTTTTTTAGAGGTAACTCTTTACAGTCTGTTTATCCCTTAATAGAGGCCAACTCCACAACCCTTCCTGCATGTCTCATCTCAAAAGCATTTAGGCCCCGATTGTGGTGTCCAGTTCTGTGATTTGTCCTGCCATTTTTGCTATGATAGCAGCTAGGTTGTAGTTTTCTAATTGTGTCTTGGTTTCTGTCTCCCGCTGTTTTCCATTGATGTGCATATTGCTGTAGAGGCACTTCATCTGGGCTATTGGCTGCATTATTTTCAACTCTCAAATCTTTCTGGGACAAAACTGAGGTTTTCCTGTGACAGTGTTCCCTTGCTCTTCTCCATCACTCCCATTCCCCCATCAAATATAGTTAGAGCTCTATTAATTAGTCTAGACAGATTGCTGCCCAAAACGTTGTTGTCTCTCCTAGTCATTTGCATCCCATTCCACGCCAGCATGCCTGATCTTATGGAGAAGCATCGAAGATGATAGCACAGAGCGTGATACCATCTGTGCATCCAGTCATTCATATGATCCATTTTCCTCTTACTTTGGTCTCGGTTTCCAGCTGGGAAGATGGAGAACACTACCTGTACTCCTTTCAATATTCTCCAAATGAGACTTTTACAGATTGTACCCTGTTACATTCCCAAGGCACCCAGTCTCAGTAAATAGCTAAATCTGTGTGATCTTCTGTCTCCTGATGGGAGATGCTTTTATGTTAGTAAAGGGAGAGACATATAGCTGAGAAACTTATTATGGTAACAAAATCCAACAAAAACCCAAAAGCATAACATCAACCAGCCAAAACAAAAATGCAACTAATACTCAATTAACACTGGTAGTCTGTTTGAGGGTTTAGTAAAAAGGAGAGAGTAGGAGCTAAGAATGAAAAGAGCATGTTGCTTGAGGGTTTTACAAGAATAACATGCTGATAATACAGAAAGTATACTGGTAGATATTCTTGAAAACTAGCTTTTTTTTTCACTAACCAGCATTCTCTGTAGCAGCTATGGATAGCTGTAATTTGCATTTATTAAAGGAAAGATAGGACATCAGTGTATGTTTGGGAAAATAGAGTGTCTCCAGGTGCTTGAAGTGACACGTGAATGATGATTTACTACAGATCATCCTCAAAGAAGAAAAGGATGTACAGAGAACTGGCTTTATTGTAGGACTGTTATGTTCTAAGCCAATTGGAGTTTCAGGAAGCTTTTGAGCAGGGTAATGCACTTTGTGAGGAAATTACTGTCAAATCCACAGAATTAACTGTATGTTATAGTAAGTATTTAGAAATAAGTGGGATCTTCTTGATATGGATTATGCTTATTGATTTTTTTGCATTTTTGCACCTACAGTTTTTTGTTGATATTTTATATTATCTGGCATCAAATGTATGTAATTAATTGGATATTATACTTTTTCTGCCAGCTTACTTATATTCCAAGTATTAATCTATGTGTTATTTCTTATTTGCCTGATTGAGAAATGAGGTTGATGTGGTAAAAGCAATCTTTGTTTTGATGTATTAACAGGCACAGGGACCTCATTGATTCTGTGGTTCTCCATATAAAAATTCTATTTGTTATTTCAAAAATGAAACTCAAGGGGGAGCTAGCCAGTCATTGTGAATCTACTGGTACACACTCAATGACCTGCTCTGCGTTTGACATTCATTTCTGTTTCTTTTCCATTTATTTTCCAATAATGTCACAAAGTGCTTTTGAACTGTTTTTTTTTCTTTCCCTGGAACAATTGGTGTGTTTTCTCTTCTGATTATTTTGATCTACAGGCCTGCAGTATATGAGATAATTGCTGAATTATTTCTGGCAATGCTTGGTATTGTGCGCAATTCATTTAAGTCTCAACTAAAATTGTAATGAAAGTGAACTGGCTCTTATGTTATGTACATCAGTTATTTAAAGGTATCTGAAAAGGGATTGAGAGATGTTAGTGTAAAAAAAACCTAACTTCCCTTGTAGATCAAAGCTATTAAGTACTAATAATTCATAGTAGATTCATACCTTATTGGTGCTGGCATTATGCCGAATGAACTTTCCAGGGTTTCTTTAACAAGTCCTTAGCTGGTGGAAACAATCTGTGGGTCATATCCAGTGGAAGCTGATTTTCCTTTTGTCAAAAATTATTTAGTGTGTTAATGCATTGCAGGCAGAGATTTGTGAGTTTCTTCACTGCACTGTCACTGTGCAGTGGGTGAATGTGTAAAAGCAATGATTTTAACTATGGATCAAGAGTTTCTCATGGGGGAAGCCCAAGTAAGCAAAATAAAACCTCAGTATTGCTGACATGTGGGCATACATATTGCTGTTAAATACACATATCTGTGGGGCCTTTAGAGAGTTTTTTCATGTGTAATATTGCTTTTAAGGCAGTAGATGAATGTCAAAGTCAGAATATGTAAATTCATGCTGAAACTTTGTGAAGTTTATGGGGAATATTCTTTTCAAAAACAGTCTAAAACTTTTGGCTCTTAAAATTAAATCCTTTTGGTAAAGATTATGTTACTCTGTTCTCAGTCTTTTTCCTGCCACTGATATCAAGCACTGTTCTTGTATCCACATCCTCCTAATGTGCAGGGAAAGTAAGAGAACATCTCTGATCATTTGTTTTGCTGCACTTAGTTATAGAACTGTGTAGTTTGTTCTGCTTAATGCATATATTTTTTTATTTGCTTGCCTTTCTTGTTTATAATTCATATAAGAGTTATCATCACAACCAATTAACACTACTTGAAGAAAAAAAAAATGTTTTTTTTTTTACCTTCTGTGAAATTTAACATAAACCTATTCACTTTGTTAGTTAACTGTTGTCAGTAATGCTTACTGTCTCGAGTCTGCCTGTAAAAATACTGTGTTCCTAGTTTAAGTTATTCACTGATTATTTGGTACTAAATAATAATTTTTGTTTAAAATGTATGAAACATCAGTTAGATTTTGTCTTTAATGATGCTAGTAATTAACAATGGCAGAATGTGCTACTCAAAGTGTAAGCAAGATATGAAATGAAAGGATTGGAAATGAAAAGTAACTTTTATTGTTTTGTAAGGCATACAGCTAGAAATGACCCATGTCAAAAAGCACATTTTTCTGAGTCTGTAGACATAAATTTGTATCTGTAAATGCAGACCTTCTATCCACCTTTTGGCAGCAGAATATGTCAGCAGAAATAGTCATTTCTTTAGGGCTAAATAATTAGAAACATGGGTCCTCTCCAAGGTGAGATTAATATATCATGTTGAAAAGACAGAGAATCAAAACCAGGAGTTTAATGGCTGCTGTATTCTTTTTGGGTCTGAGCTTAGAATTGCAAAGAAAAAATTACATGCAGTGACAACTTAAGAAATAATACTAAAGGCATCGTGTGACCAAAAAAAACCCCCCTTGAAATATATAAAACCACATTTACAATTTTGTGGAATTGGGAGTTTATTTACTACTCACTAATAAATGATGTGTAAATTCCCAGAGGTGGTCTTTCCCATTTTGAAGACCCTAAACTTTCAAGCTCAAGCATGTGCTTCAAATGGAGTTCTTGCCACGTCTTATTTAAATGAACAAGAGTTATCCTTGGCCTAGAGGAATCTGCTTAAATCTCTGTAAGACCTGGCTCTGTCTCTGTCATACACACCGCAGTCACACGGTCAGTGACCTGCAGGAGTTACATGGGAGTGCACGTGTAGTCAGTTTTTCATTGTGTGGCCAGGCTGGAGGCTGGAACAATCTTAGTCTTACCTAGCATGCCTGCCAGGGATTCTGTTAAGGAGATATCAGAGCAGAGCATCATATGGTCAGTATGTAGCAAAGATTGTAGCGTTTGTACTTGAGCAGCTGCTTGGATTTTTCTGCCCTGCACGTGTGCATTCTCAGTTCAGAGACGAGTTATTTGCCTGGGTGAAACTGCTGAACCTTTCTGAGTTCCAGTGGTGGTATTCCTGAAAGGATCTTCAGGTATGATGTCACAACAGCCACCTCTCACCTTGTTCCCTCCTGAATTTAGCAAGTCTGAACAACACTAAAGCTGCTGTATTTTCCCTGAACTGTTCCCAGAAGTCATAATGCTTGACAAACTTACATAATGCTGACACCTTGCATTAGGTATGTGCCTCTGAGTAGGAAGGTTAACTGTAGTCTGCTTGGCTGGGATATGGCCACACTGTGGTCATTGGTAAACATAGTAACAGTTGCATTCCCAGGAAATCTCAAGGAAAATTTGGAATGGTAGCTGAGAAAATTGTAGCATAGAGTGTTACTGTTGAACTTTAACTTGGCAGGTGGCTGACTACCGCACATCCCCACCTTATCAGGGGGGTGGGGGGGAGAATTGGGGGGAAAAAATGAGAAGTAGAACTCGTGGGTTCAGATTGAACTATTTACAGAGACAATTACAAAGAGAAAAGGAAGAGAATAATAGTTATGGCTACATATATATTAATGAATATAACAAGTGGTGCCCAAGCAATTGCTTACTAACCCCTGACCAATGTCCAGCTTGCCTACTGAACAGCAGAAGAGAAAAAAAATCATCCCTCCCTCTTCAGAATGCCTTCCAGTTGATTTCATGTAGTATGAAATATCCCTTCAGCCAGTGTAAGCCAGCTGTCCTAATTCTGTTCCTTCTCAGCTCCTTAAGCTATTTGCTGAGAAGATCCTTGGCTTACCAGGCAACTGTAAACATTGGTAGCTCATCAGTGTTGCTTTTCTCCTCGAACCAAAATGTAGTATTGTACCAGATACTCTAAAGAAAGTGTTTCCATCCCAGCTGAAACTAAGACACCAAAATGCAATTATTGTCAAATTTGTGTCTTCTAGCAGAGTTACAACATACACTGACTTTGCATACAATTTTTCCACTGGTGTACAGATAACGTTCTGTTAACAGGGATAACCACCTAATTTCTGTGGATGTTTTTAATGTTTTAAAGTCTATGCAATGTTTATTTGGCATATTTGCTTTCGTAGAACCTTAGAGATAACAGAACTACTGAGTTTCTGTTAGAGCTTGACCTCTGACCTTTTTTTTTTTTCCTCTTCAGGTCTTTGTGGAAACACTAGACAAATGTTTCGAAAATGTCTGCGAGCTGGATTTAATTTTCCATGTAGACAAGGTACAGTGATGGGTTCTTGTGATATTTCTTGCCAAGTAACATGTTTGATTCAACTGATACTCAGTATTAAAATATGCAGTGATTCTGCTTTTATAGTGAAGTCTAGACAGATTCTACAAGGAGGTTATTTTTAAAACTTGAAAGCTGTATGGAGCCTACTTTTCTAAGTTAAAATGTATTTAGGAGCTTTGTGTGGCATTGTTACACACATGATGTTGCAGCTGTGAATATTGTTTTTACTTCTCAAAGTTGGACTTAGAGGATTTGTTCTGGTTTGTTTTTGTTTAGATGTTATATTATTCAGAACTGAACGTGTCTTAGGAGCTTTTCTGTTATGTCTGGTAGTTGCCTTTCAAATGCTGTGTTTTTTTAACTTAAAATCTGTGGATCTTTTTCTGCTAAATCTCAAACAGACATTATGTCCTTTGTTAAGCATTTAAAAACAAACATTTTTTGAGTACTCCCAGCTATCAGGAATGTACCTTATTTGTTAAGCTAGTTTTGAGAAAACTTACAGTAGTTTTTATTTAAAAGGACTTTGTCATCTCTTGATATAAGTAATACTTAAAATTTGAGAATTGAATAAATATTTATTACTTCAGTTACCTTTTGTGCCTACCATTACTTTCCCTGACTGTGAACACCTTTTTGCTTCAGTGGGAAGACATGAAAGGAAAATAAGACAAATATCACTAAAATTGGTCTAAAAATATTAACAACTATCTGAAATTACTCTCTGAAACTGACTAAATTTGTTTCCAAATAATGGAATTATTTGTTGAAGAAGTAGTTACACCTTGACCAGACACTGAAATGCAAATCATCTTGAGTAGGCGTTTGAACTAGCTTGTGACAAGTCATTAGGATTTTCAGCCTGGCTGGAATGCTTTGGTTGCTTCCAAAATGATATATTTAAGTTCAAAGGAACTTTTAAAATGAATGGTTTGTGTATTAGCTTCTGAGCTTAAAGGACCCAAATCATACAATACAGTCATGGCAAGGAGTTTGATCTTTAGCTTTAGCTGCAAAATACAAGGGCTGCTCTGAAAGTGATGTCTCCTGTGTTATTTTGTTGGCCTATGACATCAGAGATGGATGTTAGTGGTACGGCAGCAGAAGGTGAACCTTCACATCAGTATTTATTACATGTTGTTGCTGTGTGACAGGTGATAGTAGAGGGGCAATCTGACAGAGTAGTGACTGACATGGAAGTGTCACCATGTATGAAGTGAAGGTGTGGAACTGAATTACTTCATGTGGAAAAAATGGCACCCAACTGACACTGACTGGTGTTTGCTGAACATTTATGAAGACCGAACAGTGGATGTGAGCACAGTGAGGCAGTGGGCATTGTGTTTTAAAGTGACAACTGTTGGAGGAAGGACAAGCCACACTGCAGACAGCCATGCACATGAAATGAAGAGCATCTCAGTTAGCTCATCCATGTAAATCAGCTGATTATGACCAGAGAACTGTGCACTGAGCTTCAGCTCAATTGGCTTCAGTGCGTGCAAAACAATGTTGGCAGTGTTAGAATATCACAGAATCAGTGGCACATAGGTTTCACAAGTGCTCACACAGGCCAGTTTGGATGGGCCTTTGAACAGCCTGGTCTAGTGGGAGACCTGCCTATAACAGGAAGGTTGGAACTAGGTGAGCTTTAAAGGTCCCTTCCAACCCAAACCATTCTGTGATTCTGTGATTCTGAATGTGATGAGCAGGAAGGAGACAAACAATTGTCTTTCTCTCACATTAGCAGATAGAATTTGCATGAAGTAAGTTTAAAATTAAGAAAACTACATATTTTTCATGATTTATAATTAAATTATGGGGCTCCATTGTCACATTTTTGTCAGGGTTACCTTAGTATTACATAGTACCATGGTACTATGAATAGGTTCAAAGGTGGTTGGAGTTATTACTCAAAGATAAATATGACAAGAGCTATGCAGTACAATAGCACTACAACAAACAGCATCTGTTTTCAGAAATTCCTAAATTGGAGATATTTAGAAGCAGAATGTATCAGGATACATAGTTCTAAGATTTTTTTAAAGGTGTCAACTGATGGATGTTTAGAGCTGGGTAACAAGCTGTATAGATTTTGTTTCGGATTAATAATGTTTTTTAAGCATTCTTGAGCAAAAGTAAAATTTTTTTGTTTCTTTTTCTTTTTTTTTTTTTTTTTTTAAACTGATATCTTGGAATAGTAAATATTACAATGAACATATTCTGTAATGCTGAACACCAGATATGCAACACTGAATCATCTGTTCAGCCATAATTCATGGTACTGTACTCTGAGAGAGTACTTTCTGAGCACATCATGATAATAAAGCAAAAGCATGAAAGCTAAATGAAATAAGCTGTTTCTTTATGGCTGTGAAGAATGAGGAAGGTATTACCTTGATCACAGAAATGTAAGTCTTTATCTACGTACTGGTCTGCTGTGGAAAAAAAATTATATCCCTGCTCTTTTGTCTGCCTGTGATGATAATAGTTCATTCAGACAAACATTACCAACTTGATTATGAGCTTTTTTGTGTATGTGAGAAAGAGAGAACCTATAGTCTTCATTATTCTTCTAATGGCAATATCTACGAAAGGCTGGGTGTTAACACCAGTCATACAAGTATATTGCTGTTCCTGGGCTAAGTGAGGGTACTCAGTGATGTCTAGTGTCTCTTTCAGACTAAGTAAGTGGTGATGGAAAACGTGAACATTAATGGAATTGTTTTCTAAAACTTCTGGAAATTTGGGTGCTTGTATATCTGCCAGTGTTATGGAAAGTATTTACTGTGTTGAGAAATAATGTTGGTATGTGATCTGTCCTTTAAGACTGATGCTGATGTGAAACTACTTTATTCAGAGATTGAAATAATTTATCTTTTTTAATTGGTTACCACTATATCTTGTGTTATTCTGTGTTAAAAAATGCATAGCTGATTTTTGAAAAGTTTTCTGGAATACTGTGCTATATTACCTTTTACAAACTCTTGAGATTGTGTTGTGGTGATCGTGTGAGTATCAGGAAATGATGAAAAAATTTCATTTCTTTTTTTTTAATTAATTTCTATTATTTTTGAATAAAAATGTCATTTCAATTTCTATTGTGATACACACAGAGCTGAAATGTGCACTTACTGTGGGCACCTTGAACAGCTGCTACCTTAAGCTGATGTTACCTGGGCCTCTTAGTGACTTCTCTTGAGCATTACCTCTGCATCTTCTAGCAGGCTGTTGAAAATAAAATCTGAGTTTTTAAAGTGTTTTTAAAGTGCTTTTCGTATTGTAGAATTCAGTGCCTCATAACTAATACTGAAGGTTACTTGTGGTACAATTAATTTTGCTAACATCTGCCTAACATTTAAATTGTCTGTAATTCCCTGCATCTAACTTCTTCCAGAAATTTGAATTTGTTCCTGGCTCTCCAGCATTTGTTTGTACTAATGAAACTGTTTCCACATCATGTAGTAGCATGCCTGTGCCATAAAATCATAGGATAATTCCAATATGGATGTCAGGAGCAGGCTGCTGTCTGGACCTGCTGCCAGCAGGGTCAGCCCTGGGGTAAGACCAGACCACTAAGGCAGGAGGAAGCCTGCACAGCCCTGGGCAGCCTGTGTCCCCAGACTCCTCCACTCCTGGGGAAAGGTTTCCCCGTGTCAGCCCCTTGCCCTCCTGGTGTGTCCCACTGAGAAGGGCTCAGTCCAGCTGCTCACAAACCCTGCGAGAGCACTGGTGTGCTGCTGGGTGCTCCCAGCTCTGGTCCCCCAGCATCTTTGCACACTTCGACTATTCTATCTTGGTAGCCCTGTGCTGAATTGGCTCCAGTTTATTAATGCCTTTCTTGCATTAGTTAGTTCCTGAACTGTACACAGTGTATTAAATATAGTCTAGTACATTTGTTTATTTACTGTGTCAGTGCTGTAGAGGGAAAAAATGATCTTTTTTATTAGTGGTGTTGACAAGGCTGTAATAGCTTACCCTTGTATTTTATAAGTAGCCACCAAAACTGACATGAGGGAATTACACTTATTCTTAAGTGCACCTTTTAATCTACTTATGGTGAACTAGATAACACTGCTTATTCTATTCAGTCATTTTGGAGTAGATTGAAAACGCAGTTCAGTCTGTTGTATCAGAGTTCCAGTATGTTGCATCAGTATGTTAGAAAGAAATTACCTGATAGACTTTTTTGGGGGGAGGGTGAAAGTATCACTCGTTTTTAAATATTATTTTAAGATGGAAATGAACAATCTGAAAAGACCAAGAGCTGCTCTTCTATATGCTCCTGTTCTCTTCTGTTAGGGTTCCATGGCTTGTTCTGTGAAGTTCTCTGCTGGCTAGAGGACAGTAAGAAGGAACTTTAATTGCCTTAAAACTCTGTTCTACAACATCTTTAGTTAGACTGCTTTCAAGTGGGTTGTCTGTATGTCTGCCACCAAGAGCACAGATGTGGTGCTGTCGGAATGGGGTCTGTGATAATGGTTGTTGTTAACTTGTTGGTGTTCTGTGTCAGAAGAAATGGAAATTGATTGAAAGACCAGTTTCTTTTAAAATTAATTATTTTGAATACATTGTAACTTCCATTAGTAATTTATAAAATCATTCTTTGCAAGTTGCTAGCCAAATGCAAACTCACAAGGTTGTGTGCATGCATTGCAGATGCTAACTCTTGTTTGTTAAGGGCTGCAAGCCTTTTTCTTCTGTAATGAGTGAAAGTAAGTTTTTAGTAAAAGGAAGTAAATGTTGGTAACACCTTTCAGTGCATTTGGATTGTCAGCGTGGAGTGTATTAATGTTAGATTACCATGTTTATACTGTGATGTTAGAAAGCTTTACAATTAACTTCATCACAAGACAGAAGAATTATTTTGCATCACTTTCATATTATGTCCAACCTTTTGGCTTGCTTGGGCCATGTGACATACATATGTAAGGTGTATGTCCAAAAGTAATGCCTCATATTTATTTCACTGGAAACTACAACAGATACAAAGAGCACAATAACAGTTTGATAGAGCAGGTTCTCAGCTACAGAACGGTTTTTTAGTAAAGTCACCACCATTAGCTATGCATTTTTGCCACTGACAAAAGAGAGCCTGTATGCCTCTCCTGCTTGTGAAAGTCTATACCAGTGGAGGTGACCCACTGTCACTGTCACCACTGCTGAAATGCACCACACAGTTGTTCACCCATTGCTGAATGCTGATGGGTGCCATTTTTTTCTGCATGGAGAGATTCATTTCCACACCTTTGCTTCATACACACTTCCATGTCAGACAGCGTTTTGTCAGACTGCCCTTCTGCTGCCGTCTCTCACATAGCAACAACATGGAATGGAATATTGGTGGGAATGTTCAGTCTCTGCTAACATACCATCAGCATCCACTTCTGAAATCATGGGCCAACATAATAAAACAAGAGGTGTCACTTCCAGAAAACCCTCATTAAATATTCAATCTAGTTGATGCATACCCAGGAGGGGAGTAAGCTCTTCAAAAGGGCTGATAACAGCAGGACTAGGGGAAATGGATCCAAGTTGAAGGAGGGAAGATTTAGGTTGGATGTTAGGGGGAAGTTCTTTACTAGGAGAGTGGTTAGACCCTGGAACGGGCTGCCCAGGGAGGTTGTGGATGCCCCGTCCTTGGACGTGTTTAAGGCCAGGTTGGACGGGGTCCTGGGCAACCTGATCTGAATGTGTATGTTTGGTGGCCCTGCTAGGCAGGGGGGTTGGAACTACATGATCCTTGAGGTCCCTTCCAACCCAGGTGATTCTGTGATTCTGTGATTCTGTGATATGAAGTAACAAAATTTGTTTTCTTTAATTTTTTTTAAATTGAAACATAAAAAAGCAGAAAAAAAAACCAGATAAATAGTAGGATATTTGACCTTGTTTTTGTGAAACAAATGTGTCAGGTTGGTTTGATGGCAGTGGTTGCAATTCTTAGTCAGTTCTCAAGATGTTAAGTAGAGTTTTGGTAATAATTTGCTCTTTCTATACTTTGTCCTTCAAAATAGTTGTTTGCAAATGTATATAGCGTCAAAAGCAATGATTTGAATAAGGTGTAATAGGGAAGTGAGGGATATTTCTCTCTGGAAAGAGAGGTCTTATAAAAGTTTGGTAAGGAGACATGATCACATTTTAGATTGCAGCTCTATATCTGAAAATTCACAAGTAATATGTGTACACTGATGTTGGGCTGGTGTGGAGGAGCTGGGCTTCCAGGTGGGGCTGAGCTGTGCCCTGATGTCACAGGGCTGGGGACCAGCTGCATTGGAGCTGTGCTGGGCTGTATGGGGCCCACAGGCTGCAGGTTGAATGTGCCTGATTTAAGGATTTACTTCTGTCCTTGATCCACAGGGAAATTGCAAGAATATTTTGAGTAATAGCAGAATTATGCTTTAAAGTATCATAGTGTACAATTTTTTTATTTCATAGAAGTAATTATGTGTACCCTATGTGTCTTCAGAATTATAGTGGGCTTGCAAAATTTTACATTATGTATTTGGTGAAGAGTTTTGGTAAAAAGTATGTAGAAGCATGCATTTAAAAAAAAAGAAAAAGTTGTCAGGTCTGCAGATACAGACACTGACTCAGAGGTTTGTGAACCAAAGCTCACATTCTAAAACCAGAGTTACAGGGAAAAAGAATTTTAAACTCACCGATTTCATTAACATCACTGTTTGGCTCACTCAATCTTTCAGTTTCAATCCTGACTATCTGTCCTGGTCCTAGATGCTGAAGTCTTCATGTCTGTGGTCAGTGGAACAGGGATTGTTTAGTCTGGAGAAGAGGAGGCTCAAGGGAGACCTTATCACTCTCTACAACTCCTTGACAGGAGGCTGTGATGAAGTGGGGTCAGCTTCTTCTCCTGTGTAACTACTGATAGGATGAGAGGGAACGACCTGAAGTTGTGCTGGGGAGGTTTGGGTTGGATGTTAGGAAGAATCTCTGAACAGGGACATGGCTTAGTGGGAAATACCAGTGGTAGGCGGACAGTTGGACTGGATGATCTTGGAGGTCTTTTCCAGCTTTGGTGATTCTATGATTCTGCGATTTTCTATGTTCAGATGTATTACCTCTGCTTCCAAGCCTACCCTTGGTAAATGTGAGTGAATGTCATTATGCCTCTCATCCTTCACAGATTTACAGAACTGTTTCTGAGAAATTTGTTAATATTCTAGAGCTTGCTTCTTTGCTTTACTACTGACAATAAGTACAACTCTTGTTCTAATATCCTTGGGTAGAAAGCATACTAAAAGGAAGATGAATGACAAAGTTCATTTGGCTAGCATTGATTGGCAAAGTGGTATAGCTGTTGAGATTTGTGATGAAAGAACTATGAGCAAAAAGCATATTGAGGTTGTGAACAGCATGTTATAAGCTTCATGCCCAGATTGTTTCAAAGAATGTGCTAAGATTAATTGACTGATGGAATGTACGTGCTCTTGGATTCATGAATTTAGACATCATCTGTCCAGCTGTGTATAGGACGTTTTAGAATTTTCTTATGGTCTTCTTTTTAGGTCCATAATATATTGGCTGAAATGGTTATGGGTGGAATGGTTCTGGAGACCAACATGAATGAAATTGTCACTCAGATTGATGCTCAGAATAAACTGGAAAAATCTGAGGTAAGAATGAAGCAGTGCTGTGTAGTGTCTAAACTAAAAACATGATTGTAGTAAATGCATGCTATATAAAACTGCTTATACTTCAAGCTGCTTGCTTATAAATAGTGAAAATTCACAATCTGTCATTAAGTTAGTATACTGTACCTTTTCTGCATATGCAGTAATTGCTTAGAGGAGTTGCTGCTTAGATTTTGCTCTGTGTATCCAGTAGCAGAACATGTTGTTGCTATTGAGATACACCTGTAGTTCTGTGAGTTTCTCTTGCAGAAAGCATTTTATTTCCAGAGTATTTACCGTGTTGGAAATCGCTAACCATTACAACAAATAAATTTATATGAAGATCTGAAGTGTGTAGATAACATATTCCTGTCTACTAGTATGCTTCTATCTGCTGAAATAAATGGCAGTATATTTAATGCACAAAAATATTGCAACGTAAAATAATAAATTGGACTTGATAGAAATTACAACCCAGTTGTAGGCACTTTAAATTAAATATGAATTCTGTCCTGTTGGTAATGTGAACATTTGTTGTTAGTTGACTGGACTCCAGAGAGAAGATGAAATTTGCTGTGTGTACATACTAGTCTGAGCAAGGGACAGTTGTGTAACTTGAGGGAATCCCTTTCCTCTTGTCAAGTAGAAAAGATGCACACTTGTGGAGCAGATGACAAGATGTACTTGTAATTCCATGTCAAACTTTGCAGCTTGTGAATCTGGATATTAAAATGCTTGCCTTTTATACTGTTGAATTTGTGTTTAGGAGAGAAATCTAGAATGAGAAAGGATTTCAGAATTATTTTAGCTATGTGACTAAATGCTACTTTTTTAAAACGTTATCAGGCTTGTCATGTTAGCTAAAATATCAACAGTATATCTTAGCTAAGGCTATGAATGATTCTTACTGATGAGAGTAGTTCTACAAAAGAACATACAATCTGATTTTCAGAGTTTATTTTTCAAATTTGAAAGCAAACTTCTGCTTAAATTGGAGACTCTTTCTAAATCTGAGGTCAGCTGAATGGATTGAAGAATCACAGGTGGCATAAATATGAACTAAATGACATTTGAGAGGAAGACACAGAACTTTCTAGTTTTGATTTATGAACCAGAAGAGAAGTTAATTTGTTAGACTTTTTTTTTTTTTGTGGTACAATGTATACTGTTCTCCTAATTCTAGAATGTCACACTGCATCATCTTGAGTCTTTTGATACACTAAGTTGTCTGTTTTACTTCCAAGCTATTTCCAAGAACAGAACAACGCTTTGTAAAAAGCTGTGCATGATACGACATTGTGCCTGGCAACATATGTGGAGAAAGACTGCATTACAGATTTTGAAGATGTCCAATACATTCATTTTAACATCTGCAAACTTAGAATGACTTGTTGATTACATGGAAATCTAGTAAATTATTGCTATGTTTGAGTAATCTCTGAATACATTTATCTTTATTTTTTTGATGGAAGACTAACATGGTGTCCCAAAAGCTGAACTTAGTCAAGCAGCTGTGTTCTACCATGTGTTAATGCACATACAAGTTTCAACTAAAAGTGTTTAATTGAAGTGTTTTTCCTTAATTATATTTATTCTGTTACCAAACTGTCTGGAGAGTAGTCTCTCACTAGGCCCTGAAATGCATTTACAATATCTTATGTTTTCCATGACCCACCAGTAAGTCATTCTTTCTTTTAAGGTACTTAGGAAGAAAATTAGGCCATAGAAGATTAAAAAAAAAAAAAAAGTACAAAACAAAACACAAAGCCTAGAAGTCATAGTATGTGCAGGGCAAATAGCAACTTACTCTTTTATGTTCAGCAGTGAATTATAGAAGGCAAAGAAGCAACAGTGATAAACAGAAACACTTGGTGACTGGAATAGAGTCAGTCCTGCTCACCAGAAATTCATTTTTTTAACTCAGTGACTGTTTCTTCTCAAATGTAGCAGTTACTGTAATACTGTGATACTTCACAATACCTGATAAATAGTTCCATTAATCATTTGTTGCATGAATCTCATCAGAAATTATCTGGTTGCTATTTCTTTTCCTTTTGCCTTTTTGATCAAGATTGTAAATCTTTCAACATGTCTTTCCTGAACATGTCCTTCCAACAGAGCATCGAATTCAGCTCGTGTGAATAAAAAGTGGTAATAACTCATTAATAATATTTTTAATGCTTGACACAAAGAAATCAAAACTAGCAGATCCTTTTATTTCTTCAAAAAGAATGAAATATTTTTTAAAAGTCAGATTTTTTCGTTTATTTCGTCCATAGTTCATAGGACTGCCACCTATGCCACAGCACTCACACGTTACTCTATTCAGCTTCTTCGACCTCAGTTGTGGTTCTTGCATCCATAAAATAGCTGTGTTAAGGTTGATTGCCTTTATGTTTGTAGCCCAAAGAGATGAATGCTATACAATTGTAAGTGAGCTCCATTTACAGAAATATTCTAAATTTCATAGTGTACCCACCCAACTTTCCATAGTAAAGCCATTTGACATTTGATTAGTTTTACGTTGGGTTTCAAAAGAGACTGTCAATTGGAGCTTAGCAAAGGAGTTAAATCATGTTTATTTAATTTACAAATATTTGTAAATATTATCAGCTCAAAGGATTTCTTGATCCTTTCAGCAGAGATTATTTGTTTAAATTACTGTGATGGCATCCATAGCTTTGATTTCTGATTCAGCTCCTAACGTTGCGGGGATGAGCTATGAAGGAAATTGCTTTTTTATTCTGAGAAATGTTGTCTTTACTACATTTCCTTACCTTAAAGTGTTAGTGTTTGTCTGTGAATGGATTTCTGGTCAAGTCTTCTAAAGCCAACTGATCATTGTGATTAAGAGGGGGAATTTTTGGGAGAGGGATCTTTGGGATTTTATCCAGTGCCTCTGAACTTACTGTAGGTAAATCTGTGCTACCTTTTCTCTATTTGGAGTGTTCAACTATGTGTGATTTAGACTTTTAAGTTGGACCTCATTTTTTCCCGAACATCCTGATCTTTTCTAGCTCTTTCATTCTTCTCTCTTACAGACCTTTATCTTTCAGTCTCCCAGACAGGACAGGTAGACAAAGGTATTGCTGACTTTGAGAAAAAATGTACTTTTAACAAAAAGGGAAAGCAAAATGATGTCAAAGGCAATAAATCATGTAGGCCAGACTCAAAAATTATGTGTAAAAATACCCATACTAGTCTATGTAGCCTACTTTTTGTGCTAGTTTCTTCTTGTAGTTCCCTCATCTTTTTATTGGCTATAGTGTATTTTACTAGCTTTCCATTGGCATCATATTTTTTATTTTATTTCTCTTGCTGCATTTTGGAATTTAACTTTTCTTTGTATCATTGTTTAAGAAACAAGGAAACATGAACTTGCACGAATTTTTTAAAAAGCTGCAAAACTGGTCTGAATAGAAATTGCATACAAGGATAGCAAAACACAGCGTGACGATACAATCAAAATACCTTTCTGATAGGAAAATCTAAACTGGGAAAGAAGAATTCTCCTCCAAATAAAAGCAAACAACCGGCTTTCAAAGAGAAATTAAGTTTTAGAGTAAATTTCAGGTAAACCAAACTTAAAAAGAAAACTTGCCAATCCAGTTTTATACATGTGAAATGAAATCATCAGTCTGATTTGTAAAGAGGATGAAGAAATACCAAGATTCTTCTGTGAATCCTTAAGTGTGTCAAATGTAAAATGAAAAAGGTGGTTGCCATGTGCAGAACTTCAGATGTACATTTGCTGCCCTTATCATCTGAATGGCCAGATTTTGCTTTAAGGTATCTTGGTACCCCTGGTCACTGAATACAACAGGGAAAGGAGGAGAAAAACGTATGTTTGAAGTTCAGTTTTGGTCGTTGTCCCCCTTGTCATTTTTGTTGAGAACATTTAGTTCAGCTCAATGGTTTGAATGTCAGTCAACATTAGTGGCGCTATTTCAAAATTCATTTCCATTCATTTTAAGTATCTATGTATTTGAACTTCAGGTAGTTTAAATATCTGGAGATTATGCAGACAAAGTTTATTTAATTTATAAATAACTTTGCTCTTGGATTTTACATGATCTTTCCAGGAAAAGCCTTTAAGACTTAGTAAATATACTTCTGTAATTGCTTTTAGTAGCAGTAAATTATAAAGCGTTAGCCAAAACCATTTTTGGGTAGTATGAAACTTTTAACCTAAATTTGGAGTATGTTACAACACATGAAAATCAAAGAAGTTACCTTCTTCTGCCTAATATGTCAACACCTGAAACGTATAATCCATGTTTCATTGTAGTGGTAGGGAGCTTGATATCAGGTTTTATTTTATTTATTTATTTGTGTGTTCTGTGTTCTGCTCACACATGTTCTGTTTTTATTTTTGGGTCTGGCAATGAAAAATAAACAAACAAAAGAAAATCATTCCCATCCATTATTCTTTGTGATTCAAGTGCTTAAAATTTCTAAGAGTACGTCCTTAAGTCTTCTTATCTGTTTGGCCTCATTTTGATATTCCTTCAGACTTCATTTTGTTTTTTCTCTAATTATGTTCATTTATTTAACCTCATAAGCAGAGGACATAATCATTCCTTTATATTATGCATTGCATCCTGTCATTCTTTCATAATCTTGCTGCTTTGAAGTCATACTTGTTCCAGAAAGAAGCACTAGTATGAAACACTAGCAGCAGAGAGGTCCTTGTACCTGCAGCATACCTCAGAAAAGGATGGCTTATTTTGCAAAGCTTTAGCCTGCATTATTTTGTTTTCCAGTAGGTTGTATATTTCTAAATGCTTATTCTAGTGATAGCTAGCGCTGTTTGGGGTGAAGTCTGAATTGTTTTTTTTTTTTTTCAATGTACATAAGAAATAAATCTGTGATATACAGTGCTTTTCCCAGTTTGATTTTTCTATTTTTATTTTTATTTTTTTTTTATTGAAACAGTGTTTCTGGGTTTACTTTCATGTAGTGCTACTAGTGGGGCATTATAAGAAAAAATGATGATAACAATAAAGAAAATTAATACCCATAATAATAAATAATGACCTAAGCAAACTAGCAACATTTAATATTTCTCACTTTATGTACTAGGACTGTTAGAAAAAGACTTGTTATTAAATGTTTCTATTCCAATCTTTAAAATAGCGTTATTTTGCATTTATGACATTGTTCTTTTGCTCTAAAAGTGTATAACCATGTTCACAAGCATTTTTTTTTTTGCAGTAACTAAAATAATAATATACAGTATTTCAAGATTCAAGTACAACCTTTGATAAGAAAGGAATTTGAGAATACAGAGCAGCTATGGCAGAAATCTGGTGTATTGGCTATTTGTAATACCAGCTTTATGCAATTTGTACTGTACTTCTGAAATTTCATTAACGTGTCATCAGAAGTTTCATTTTCACTTGCTCAAGTCATTTGCTTGCTGTGACAGACAATCCATCATTCACTGCATGATAAAAGCTTGTGTGTTTTGATTTCTTGTTCAAAGTGAAACAGTTTTTCTTTGCACCTCACCAAGATACCTGCTGAATTATTTCGTAATAAAGGCAGTTGAAACATGTCCAATGCAATGTCACACAGGTGGCCCTTTTAATCAGGTACCTCTATAAAGCTGCTCAAAAACACAATGGTCTGAAAATCTCTCTGTAGAATCTTTGTGTTTCTAAAATATTTCACTTTCAGTAAGGGGTAAATAAATGAAAGGACTACATAAATGCAGATGTAATCGTGTTTGGGATAATGTGTTAGTTATCCAGTTCTGACGTTTAAGTACTTATCAGTATACTCAGTTTTGTTAGATATTTTTTACAAATTCTTGCTCTCAGATTACTGTGTGTTATCCTTTATAGAGTTGACATGAATTTTGATGAACAGCATTCTGCTGTGCGTATTTATACACACTGAACGACTTAATATAGACAATAACAGGAGAAAAGACTGCCACTGTGGATAACTAAGGTCGATAAGAAAATCTCCACTGCAGTATATGGCAGTGAAGGACAATCTTGCTTTCCAAAAAAAGGTGTGATCTGAAATTCGTAGTGCTTTTGTTAGGGATCTCTGTTGATCCCCATCCAAAATGATCCTAAAAAAATGTGACTGTTGGAAGTCTGAGGGGGAGGAAGAGCAATGGTCATGTCAATTGTGGTGTCCTGAATAATTCTCAATTGTGTCTCCATTGTATCCTATGCCATTGGGGCGGGAGGCAGGGACTGTAAGTCTGTGTAAAGAGGATAGCTGCAGGTAGGTAAAAGTGATGACCAGTTGTACTAAAACTTATATTTGTTCATTAAGAGTAATTAACTTTCATTAAGTAAGGGTAAAGACTTTCCATCCTAGTCACTTAGAAGACATCTCTCTCGAATTGCCAGCCATGCCTGTTTGTGTGGACCATGCCCATAACTTAATGATATTTTTCTGGTTTCTCGCTGTTTCAGTTACAGATTGTATAATTCATTGCTTTCGTTACTACTTTATTATTATTTTCATCTCCTCTATGGAAAACAGTTTACATTGCCCCATTTTTGTTTCTCCTCAAAGATGTGTTCTAATGCTGTTTCTTTAAGACATTGCAGATTAAAGGTTACAGATTTTGGAGACTTGCATTTCCTAATACTACTAGTGTTAGGTCCGTAGCTGCCCCTTCATGAAGGGATTGAAACTGAAAGCTTTGAATTACATGACCTGAACACTTGGTGATATGAACGGAAACCGAGGAAAAAGAGGCTTTAAAAATATTTCCTTGCACTTTTACAGATTTAGTTAGCCATACAGCTGAAAACTGATCATTGGGATTACGTGAGGGACCAAGTGAGAGCAAACTGTTTGGTTATAAGAGATTTAAGATTTCCTGAGCTTTCTCCTCTACCTCCTCATCTTTTTCCCAACGTAGGCACATCTGATATGGGTTTGGCAGGGTGTGTATGCAGCAGGTGACTTGTGGCTTTCTGGTATGTGTTCCTGGTACTGAGAATCCTCCTGTGACTGACACCTAGGGATTTATAAGACTCCAGCTTTTCCACATGGTATAAGTGTTTTAGTTCAAAGTCAGGAACTTTGAAATTGATTTTAGTTTAACCCTGGGTTTTATTTTTGAAGGGAGAAGGAGATAGAATCATAGAATCACCAAGGTTGGAAAAGACCTTCAAGATCACCCAGTCCAACCGTTCACCTATTCCCAGTAGCTCCCACTAAACCATGTCCCTCAACACAACATCCAGCCTTTTCAACACAACATCCAGCCTTTACACAACATCCAGCCTTTATAGTGTACAGAGATAGCGTACATACCTGCAGCTGAACTGTAGGTAGGGTTTATAGTGGAAACCTAATGTTGATTTGACATCACATTCACTTCTTTATTAAGAGAGCAGTAAAAGGGAAGAAGTATTTATGCACAGTCTTCAGTGTTGTTATCTCAGGAGTGTATGAGGTGCCTGTCACCTTTTGTGTAGCTGTGGAGGTGGGCACCAAAGAATTAGAACTTACTCCACAGTTTCATTACACCCTTGTAATTACAATGAATTTCAGTGAAGAATTTGAATCTGGAAAGGTTACACACTGAGCAGTAGTTACCTACAAACATTATTTAATAATTAAAGGTAGAGATAGAAAACTTTTCCAGAAGTTTTTCTCCTTTTGAAGTGCCATATTTATTCCTCAGAATTACTTTGTGTCCAAGTGCACTGATTTCTTCAGTCCTTGACACTCTTAAGTAAAATCAAATTTAAAGAAAGACCATCAGTTTACGTTTAGTCTTTCTTAACCAGTTCTTGACATCTTGCTTTGATTCTTGTAGATTGCTCCTTTTTTTTACAAGGCCTGCAAGATGCTACAGTGTACAACTGTAGTGGTTCTGAAGATCTTTTTTATGGTTCTATGGTTGTGAATATTTTTAAGCCTGCTTGTAAAAACTAAAATAAAAATATAAAAAAGAATTATTATTAATAATAAATATATTAAATTTATTAGTAATAATAAAAATAAAATCTGTATCACCTAAATGCAAAGATTTTATCCTTTTCATTTCAGGCCAAGCCACCTTGAATTACCTCATATTCATATGCTTGTAGATAAGTAATTTGGTTTAACTGACACTGGGTAACTTGTTACTTTGAGGTTACACGTACTGAGCCTGAAGCCAGCATTAGTCAACTGTGATCAGTGTGAACTCTTAGTATAGATGAGAAACAAAGATAGTACACTGGGCTTTAAGTGTCTCAAGATTGTATCTTCAATAACCTATGCATTACACACAGGTGGATAAGCCTCCTATTCCTCCCTGTATACATTTCCATCAAGTTGACAGTATATGTTTTACCATAAAAGAAGAAATGTGTGAACTGTTTTCTCTTTCTGGATTAATATATCCAAATAACCCATTTCATTCCAAACACAATTACCATGTGGTCTTTCTAATTGTGTAAAACCATGGAAATACTTGAGAACATCAGTTGTCTGTGTGTACTGCTATTGAATGTTCTTGTATCCAGCTTTTTCTGACTTATGTTTTTCCTCACTTTGTACACAGGCTGGTTTAGCAGGAGCTCCAGCCCGGGCTGTTTCAGCTGTAAAGAATATGAATCTGCCAGAGATCCCAAGAAATATTAATATTGGTGACATCAGTATAAAAGTGCCAAACCTGCCCACTTTTAAATAACATGGCTACTCCAGGTAAAACCAAGGGAAAATGTAATAGACGTTTACCACATACTTGTTTACTAAATAAATGATGTGTCTGACTTTTAGTATTTGAGTAAAACTCAAGGTACAGTATAAACATTATTGGAAAAATCAATGTGTGGGGTTGAACATTGCTTTTGTCTTGTTTGTGAAATTAAAGGAAATGGGTAGTTCCTGTGTGATTTCTGAGCTACATTCCTATGCCCTTGTAAGGCATATCACCGTGTTTTGGCTGCTGCAGTATTTTGGGAAAGTATGACCTATAATGCTGAGTTTTTTGTATATTCACTAAGGTCTATAAGTAGTGCATTCTTTTACCACTTCTGTTGTTTGTCATGATTATTTAAGTGCAAATATTGCATGAAAACATCAAACTCATTTAAATAAAATCATAGCAAACTGGTCTTCTAAATATGTGTTTGTCTAAAATCTACTCTTTGCAATAAATCACTTCTACTTCCTATTCATTAAGCCAGTTCACTATACATAAATGCTGTTGTAGCAAACATTAATGCTGTATTTCAGTCTTTGAGGGAATTACAGTAGAGTATTGTATTGAGTGCATTGGCTCTTTACATTTCTCACAAAATCTGTTCTTTATTATTCTGAAGGAAATACTGCCCTTACTGAAGGTGTTCTGACTTCTGTTTACATAGAAATGTTGAGAATATACTTACACAATCTGATAGATTTCACCTCATGGTCTGACTTTATTCTCAGAGAAGAGGGGACCCAAATGGATGCCTGCAGTTGCTTGTGTGTGTTGTGGGAAGTACAGAATGGGTTGAGATCATTGGGCAGCTCAGAACTGAAAATGTAAATGTGTCAAGTAATGTGAAAGAAAAGGACTATAGAAAAATGTTAAAAAAGTTACTTTAAAGGGCCTCTGTGCCTGATGAAGTTCATAGTACTTAACATCAAGAATTAAATGTAAGAGTTATTTACCATTGTCATGACCTTGGAAAATCTTAAGTACTATCACTTTTGTGTAAGTTGCTCAGCTCTTAAACTCTTCTGTGAATTGAAAAGGTAAATAAAGGTAGTGATTGATTTTTATAGTCTTAATATGCTCTTAAGCTCTGTGTGATGTACAAAAATGCTCAAATGAATAATAAAAATATCATTGGGATATTTAAGAGTTCCTGTAAAGTTTCTTCTCCAAAACACATATGTAATTGTTAGCTTATATGAAAATGCAATAATACTGCATTAAGTACAAGGTATTTCAGGACTGGTCTGATAGGCCCTGTGTTACTTTAGAACCACCTCACTTACCTGCTGGTCGTGCTTTTTTTAATGCACTCCTGGGTACCATTGGCCTTCTTGGCCACAAGGGTGCACTGCTGGCTCATGGTCTTCCCGTTGTCCATCAGGATACCTACATCCTCTGCAGAGCACCTAATCTGTACTGATGTGTGGAGTTATTCTATGTAGGATTTTACACGTGCTTTTGTTAAACCTCATCAGATTCCGTTCCGCCCAGCCCTCCAGCCTGTCCAGGCTTTGCTGAATGGTATCACAGCCTCCTGGCACGTCATCCCTCCCTGCTTTGTGCCATTAGCAAACTTGCTGAGGGTGCACTCTATTTCTTCATCCAGGTCACTGGTGAAGATATTAAAAACCAGTTCCTTTGGGGAACACTGCCAGCTGTAGGACTCCAGCTGAACTCTGTGTTTGTAGTATGTCACAACATTCTACATGCTGGTAGTCTGTCAATTTTCAGTCCACCTCAGTGTCCACTCATCTATTCCTTCCATCACTTCCTAAACTTGCCTATGAGGATGCAGTGGGAGGCATTGTCAAAAACCAGTGTCAAGCTGAAGTCAGTGTACCCTATATCCACTGTTCTTCTGTCGTTTACCCAGCCAGCAGCAGCCTTCATTTTGCTATTAATATTTCTTGTTTCTTGTTCTTGATCTCCCTCACCAGAGGTAGTTCTAAGTGGGCCTCAGCCTTTCTTGCTGCATTTGTGTGTGCCCTGACAGTGTTCCTATATTCCTCTGCAATGGACAGACCCTCCTTCCGTATTCCATAAACTCTCTGCTTCCAGATGAGTTTTTCCATTTGCTCATCCCATGTGGTGTCCTGTCACCTTTGCCTGATTTCTTACTCTTAGGTATACACTGATCTTGAGCATGGAAGAAGGCTTGATATTTAACCAGCTCTCTTGGGTTCCCCTTACCCTCCAATGTTCACATGGGATTTAAGAGGTCAAAATTGACTTTCCTGAAACCCAGGGTCACAGTCCTCTTTATTGCCCTGTTTCTTCCATGCCAAGTTCATTTTCAGACTTACTAGTTCACGTTCTTAAACAAGTAATTCTTTACAGTGAAGTCTTTCCAGGCTTTATTTTAATCAAGCATTTTTAAAAATCCTTACGGAAAATATCTCTGAGAACATGAGAAAAAAACATCTTTGAGGGTGATGGAGCACTGGAACAGGTTGCCCAGGGAGGTCATGGAGTCTCTTTGGAGATATTCGAGACCTACCTGGACACTTTGCTTTGCAATCTACTCTGGGGAACACGTGTTAGTGTGGGATTGGACTAGGTAGTCTACAGAAATCCCTTCTATGCCCCATGATTCTGTGGTCATAGTTATTTACAGAATCACAGAGTTGTAGGGGTTGGAAGGTACCTCTGGAGATCATTGAGTCCAACCCCCTGCTAAGGCATTCCCTACAGCAGGTTGCACAGGTAGGTGTCCAGATGGGTCTTGAATGTTTCCAAAGAAGGAGACTCCACAACCTCTCCGTGCAACCTGGTCCAGTGCTCTGTCACCCTCAAAGTAAAGAAGTTCTTCATGTTCCATTGACCCTTGTAGCTTTGTATTGTTGGTACAACTTTTAAATAGCCCTCCTTGATATGTTGAGCACAGAAGTAGTTTTAAAGAGACTGTCACATATACAAATGAATACTTAAGCATTTTTGTGCCTTTCCCTTTCCTTAACTTTCTGTTAAGGCCTTTGTAGAGCAGAGATACTACTTTCTTCTTTCTTGCAAGAGGGATCCTTCTAAACAAATGGAGAAAGGACAGAGAGGGTACAAGTGCCATTAAAGGATTGAGCATTCTCAGTATACTTGCAGTAGTGCAACAGATTTTAGCCATGAGGTAGGCACACTGAATATTGCTGAAAACCTTTTGGCTATTTTTAAAGAGGAGCATCTTCCATTGGAATTAGCTCAGAAATCTGTTTGCAGTAGTGACATCGTAGGCTGTACAGGTTCTGTATCAGTGTACTCCCGTCTTCTCACTGAAATCACAGTTCTGACTATATTTTGTTAAGAGGGAAGATTTTACAACGTTAAAAGTGCACAACAAATTCTTCATCTGAAGTGGATGTTACTGCTCTGCTATATTCTGCTTGACAAGACTGGGTGGAGAAGAGGTTCACTTGTTACAAGGGTGAAATGGGTTCAAGCCAGAAACTTGGGCTGGCGTTGCTTTTCTGTGAGCATATTTCATCATCTCTTTCGAATAACACATTCCAAAATATGCTAAAATTAATCCTCAGTTTTTGTTACACTCATTCTGACAACTGAATTGGACCTTGTTCTAACAGTTAGCTAATTAAAAAAGATCCGTGATTCTGAATTTTAGCATATGCAGGGCATAGAATACTGAAGGAAAAATGTTGGAAATAGAACTGTTGTCTGTTTATAGTTGTTAAGAAACAGTTTAATTCTTGAGTAAAAATACATTCCTTAACTTCTGCACAGGGCTTTTATAATCTTACTTGAGAGTAAGGTAAGTACCCAAGTACTATCAAAACCAACAAATAGCAAATAATTTCATTAAATTACTACATTTTTATTACTTATTTTTATGATTATCATAGCAAAATTGTAAATCCCTCCTGATGTTTTCATTTAATGAAATGATCTGTGCTGCACCTGAATACCTGAGTATACATGAGTAATTTTCAGCACTTATTGTTTCCCCTGCCTGCTCATACAGCTAAGTTAAAGGTACCATTCCCTTCCATGGGTGGACATACAAAGGCAGGCACACCGCTATCAGAGCTTGGCTCCCAGTTTACTTGTCTGCCTAAAGTTTGGACTTGTTGAGGTATAGGAGTGTTTGACCACGTGGCTCAGCTGGGGAGGAGCCTGAGGTACAGACAGCCATGCTGTGCTCCAATTGAGCATGCGTGGGCTGAGTGTTGGTGTCATTTGGGTCAATGACCCCTGGAAGCAGGGTGACAAGTATACTTGTGCCATATCCCATTGCTTGCCTGTCCAGTTTCTTGCCCAGAGACTCGGCAGCAAGCACACAAGCAAGCTTCTAGTGTCTCTTTTTGGGCTGGCTCTGCTGCTTGGCTTGCCAACAGGACTGGACAAAGGATGGAGAGAGTTCCCCTCTGGGTTCTATCTGAGCAGAACTATGAATATATCACCAGAGCTGGAACTAAAAGCCGACCTGTAATGATGAGTATGAGCTGCCTAGATAGACTAGTATATGATGGCCCACAGCATGAGAGGTGGATGTTGGTGGTATAACAGTAGAAGTTCAAACTTCCCAAAATATTCCATTCTGTTTTGTTGCTGTGTGACAGATGGCAGCAGGAGGGGCAGTCTGACAAACTGGCAACTGACATAGAAATACAGATGAAGCAAGCATGTGGAGTTGAATTCCTCCATGCATAGAAGCTGACACCCATTGACATTCATCAACACTTGCTGAATGTTTATGGTGGCCAAACAGTGGATGTCAGCACAGTGTGGGGTTGGGTGCTGCGTTTCAGCGGTGACGACAGCAACACTGGGTCACCTCCACTGGTGCAGATTGTTACGAGCGTGGCATGCAGGCTTTCAGTATCAGTGGCAAAAATGCATAGCTGATGGTGGTGACTGTGTTGAAAAAGAGTGTCTTATTTCCATGGGAATGGATAGGAGGCATTACTTTCGGAGTGACCTATGTACTAAGCCTGTTGACAAAGGCTAACATGACTCTGTATTGTAGGATTAGTTGTCTGGCCCCATGTGGTGTGGT